CATTAATACCACGGGTCTTTATAGTGTTCAAAGTGTGAATCAGCTAAAGCAGAAATTCCTGTTGGTGTTATAGTATTTAATAAATAGTTTAAAGTACTCTGTAAAAGAAATCATTCACTATGGTGGTCAAGTTCTTCGCGCAGACCGCTCAAGTTACTGTGTGCTTTCAATATGACAAACATTTCCTGCATTGTAACGGACGTCAACCCGAGCTTATCAACCACGGGAAACAAAGATTTATTATTATTTATTATGTTATTTATTAGTTATCTTTAGTTTCTTTTTCCCACTTCATGTTTTCTGAGGGTACATATATCTCTTGCTGAACTGCTGCCAATTGGCCTTGGCCCCAGTGCGTTTGCAGGGCTGAGGTTTGATACGACCCGCCCTCCGATCCCTGACCCTGACGCCTCCGCCCCCGACTGAATCCATGGCTGGTTTTTGCGCTCGGCTAGCTGCTGCCATTTCAGCTGCTGGACACAACGTTTCAGCGTTGTTGGCTTCATTTTTGATCCCTTCATTGACATCCATCGTCTTATGTCTTAACTGGCTGTAAATTCATCGTGTCAGTAACTTGAACTTCGTCTTGACCTGACTGCATCCAGCATTGAGCATGGTTGAACTAAACCGTTGTGTCTTAAATTTGTTTTCATCTTTGTACTGGCAAAGTTAAATACTGAAACCTTGTTACTTTTTAAATAAACTGTGTGAAGTACATGAGAGAATTTTCGGTGTATGTTTAACTCGTTATTGGCCTTCTTTTTACTGAACGAGTGTGTGAGCGCACACTACCTTATCTCGTTTTACTGTTGTTTATTATTTTATGTTTATTTAATTCTGGACACAATGGGTTAAACAAAGCCGAATGTATGTTTCACACTCAAGCTTAATTTCTTTTAAATAAAAGTTATTGATTTATTCGGTTGTTCAACATATTAACTCTTGTTGGGTGTATTTTGGTATTTAAGATTACGGTCTTTTATAAAACCAGTAGTCTCTTTTCTTCTGTTTCCTATATTTAACGCAAAAACTGCCTGGACAGCGATCAATAAAATGTTTGCGACATCTTATAGACTATTGCCCCAAGAACAAGTTCTTTATCTGTTTATGGGCAAATGTTCTGTTAAATGAAGAGTGTTTTAGATTTTTGTTAGTTGTATGTAATTTGTTTCAGTATCTGTGAATAAAATTCAAAATGTGCATCCTTCGCGTTTGCCTGTCTGGCATATCTACCATTACGAAGGAAATAAACCGGTAAGATTCCCTGGTACTCTGGATCTCTGAGCAATCTTGCTACATGTTACAAGAGACATGGTGTACAGCGGAAACCGAGCGCACCACTCCATCATACATGCTCCTCCCCGCTCGTTCTTCTTCTTCCGTCCAAAGTCAGCAGGGTTGCTGCAGTTGATCTTGAAGAATGCGTAAGCCGGTGAACGATGCAAATTTAGAAACCAAATAAATGTACAAGGTGCGGTGAGACTCGGTGGAGGATGCGTCATAACTCGCTAGCTGTGCATTTAAATGCGAGTTATCAGCCCGGTCCGGGTTATTCCATGCAACGAGGCTGGCTGAAAGCAAATCGAAACAAAGTAATAATCATTCACTGTAATGGTCGCAGCTTGTATGTCTGGTGCTACTGTGTTCGACCTCTGTAGCTCTTACGCAGAACCGGGCCGCTAGTTGCTGGTACTTGTACAAGAAATATGGTCATGTATATTTCATTATATTTTTAGTACACAAAAAACACTTCTATCCTCTTTTTAAATTCATTGAAAAAAGCAACAGAGACTAGAACTTAAGTTGGCAAGGCACGCAGCGACCCCGGTTCTGATCCATGTGGGGGCCTGGCTAGGCACGTCGGAGTTGCAGGCATCATGGCGATGAATAATTGGGGACGTGGCCGGGTGGACAGTAGTGCCGCGCCCCCTGGCTGTAGCGGGCACACGTACACATCCTCCTGAAGTTTCCTGTCGTTGATAGGCTTCATCCAATTTCTGGACCAGTTGAGAGGAGAGTAGAGAGAGGAGTAGGAGGAAGAGGAGAGGCAGAGGTAGAGAGGACGGGATGTAGTGAGATGAGACAGGAGGCGAGAGACAGAGACAGGAGAGAGGAGAGAGCAGAGAGAGACGAGATCCATGTTAGATGATCTGTGAGAGAAGATGAGGAGAGAGAGATCAGGAGACAGAGAGATGATGAGAGAGAGAACATGGTGGGATCTGGATGAGAGAGACAAGGGAGACATGGGAGAGAGATGAGACAGAGAGATGAGGAAGACGAGGACAGAAGTGGAGAACAGAGAAAGAGAGAGAGAGACGAGAGAGACAGAGAGAGGAGGAAGAGAGGTGGAGAGAAGAGAGAGCAGAGATGAGATGAGAGGAGACCAGAAGAGGAGAGAGGTACAGAGACCAGAGAGAGGAGGAGAGGATGAGAGAGAGGAGAGAGACGAGAGATGGAGGAGAGACGAGAGAAGATGAGAGTCATGAGAGAGGAGAGAGAAGAGAGACAGGGGAGAAGATGACAGAGAGAGAGAGACAGAAGACAGTAGAGAAGACGAAAGACAGAGAAGGAGCGACGCGGTAGAGGAGATACAGATGAGAGAGAGAGACAGGAGAGAGAGAGACAGAAGACGGAGAGAGGAGGAGAGAGACACAGAGATGAGAGAGAGGAGACAGGAGAGAGACAGTGGAAGAGAGAGAGAGAACATTTATGAGAGGACAGGGGAGGAGAAATGAACCATTAGAGCAGAGGAAGGACGAGAAGATAAGAAACAGGAACATGGAGACTTAGAGAAGAGGCAAGAGAGAGACAAGGAGACGAAGACAGTGAGAGAGATTAGAGAGGGATGACAAGACGAGAGAGAAGAGAAGACAGAAGAGAGGATAGACGAGCAGAGAGGAATGAGATGAGAACAGAGAGAGGTGGAGACAGAGTGAGGAGAGGAGAGACGGAGAGGACAGGGTGCGATGAGCGGAGGGTAGAGAGACAAGACAGAGGAAGAGAATAGACGCAGAGGAGACGAAGAGGACAGTGAAGCGGTCAAATGACCGCGACGTACCTTTCATCTGCCCAATTTGCCTTCTCGACCTTCCATTCAGCTAACTTTAACAAAACAGTCACTTGTTAAGAGGCTTCTTACTTTTAGAACTTGAGTGGAATAATAACTGCATTAATTGTGCGCCTCTGCGACGAGCAACCAAGTTAACAGGAATATTGTTCTAAAGTCCATGGTATATGAGGAATTATATGTTATTTGGAATGACAATCTTGGAATATAGGAACTTTATCTATAGGACTCTGCAGATGACCTTCCAGAAATACACAAACAACCTGACTCCAGATAGGGGCGGACTTTCACGAGAGACGCAACAAATCCCTACACATGGTCCTTAAACGGTCAGACAAAACACAGCGAAAAATCCGATCTTCACTTTTTTTATCAAACAGTAGCCTAAATTTAACTTTCGGGACAATAAACTATTAACAATTACATTAACAGCGGAGTCCCCTCTGCTGTATTAAGAGGCCGGTTATGCAAAAAGTAAACTGGCCACCGGAAAAAAAACATCTTACAGAAAAAACAAAAACCAGTGTGAGTGTGCACAAAAAGCCACCATCTTCCAACGGCATCGGTTAGGATATTTGCCATTTCAAAACGGCATTCTTCCCTCGCCCCCCCCCCACACCCACACACACACACACACACACACACACACACACACACACAAATAATAAACACATTTTTAATTACGTTCCGCTCTTGTCAAAAACTGATTCTGTTAATAACTTGCCCTAAAATGTCTGAATATTAAAAAAAGTCAGTCTTGTGCATTATTCATCATCACTGGATGCATTGTGGAGAAGAGAGAACAGAGGGAGAGAAGAAAAGAATAAAAAAACCCGATCAGTCGTCGCTCTCTGCCACTGGCGCTCTGTTTCCATCACTGTCAGCCTGCTTTCATATAACACATCAAGCTCTGTTAATTAATAAAAGGATGAGAGAACCAGGTTTCCTACAGGCAGAATGCTGCTGCTCAGTTTCAGGTCCAGAGAACAAGAAGCTGTGAACTTCCTCCTGGGTAGAGCTGCAGCTTACTGTATGGCGTTCACATTCTCCTCCGAGACTCACAATATTGGTCTCAGCCGCCTCGTAGGAGTTTACAAGCTGAATAATGACGGAATCTGCCCCATTTTTTTATACTATGATATGTGATAGATATTATCTTTCCTCTCTTCTGACATCCTGAGGGATTCACTGGAGCAGAATCAATAAACCTCCTCCCTGTAAGAATATGTTATGCAACATTATGTTTTTTGACTGGTTGCCTGCAGTGTTATTCACCCTAAACTGTCTAGTTATCTTATACACTAAGGCTCAATACTTCCCCACAGTGAGGAGTAAAACCATAACAATATAGAAAATGTAAACGTAAACACGGGATATAACTCTTATATCAACTAATATTCCAATTCCAATCATACAAGAGAGATTAAATACCAACATCTGATCGAGAGAAAAAGTTATTCTTGATTCCACAAAGGATTAAAAATGTGTATTCACACACGATACAATGTTCACACATATAAACATGAAGTTATGCAGACTGACAGTTGACTGTTAAATGGACAGTT